AACCCTAGCTCGTAATCTACATCCCCAAAAAGTACATAGCAGCGAACCCACCCACCTACACCCTCCACGCAAAGTAACCCTCCCTCACAAGATCAGCCTCGTCCCCACCCCACCCCTCACGTGGGTATCGCGCACGTAATCCACGCATCAAGGCCCCGCCAAGCCGCCTAAGTGCCGACGCGAAGGAATTAGCTAGGTTGGAGAGTGTGTTAAACCGTAAACGAGAATAATGATGCACACCTTTACCCACCCTTAGCCCTATCTCTTGCCCCCCCCCCTCTTTTTTTTCTCTTATAAGCTGAGAGAGCTGAGAGGGGGTTAGGTTGGGAAGGAGAGTGGGGGAAAAAAGAGTGGTTAGGCGCTAGAAGGGGTGTTCGCATGCGGCCAAAGTTTGCATCATGCAGTTTTATTTATTACTAGTTAACTACTAGTTATAGTTACATGTTGTACGTATATATATGCTATGTAACCGTAACCGTACAGCTGCTGGAAATAGAAAAATGGCTTGTACAGTAAGTGTATGCTGTGTAATCTACGCTATACTGCTTCTTTGTAAGGGTGGATCCGGGTAAGCAGAAGATGTAGAGTGTTCTATTTTCTGTCGTAAGCCTTTTATCTTGCTAATTTCTTTTGGGGTTGTTTTGATGCAAGGCTGATTTTGCATCGTCCTTGGGTTGCATTCGAGTCCATCATAGAAGTATAGGTACAATGGGCAAGGAACATGATAGTAAGTATAGTAAGTGGCACGTTTTTTGGGGCTGAGTGATCGATTGAGGGGAGGGGTATGGGTGGAGGGGTCAATCATCCTCGCTCGGCGCTTATGCAGAGTGATTACAAGCGGGAAAGTTTTCTTGGACGCGAGCTAGCCTAGCGAGTCTCAGCACGTGGGTGAGGGAGGGGGGGGTGGAAGGAAGGAAGGGAAAGGGAAGCGGGATTTCCCTTGGCTTGCGCTGCGTGCCGGGCTACGGAAAACAAGGATGGTCGGGTTGCTTGGAATGGTTTGCGGTACAAACCCACACCTAGTGGTGTAGACGGTTCGGTGGACTAGGGGGTTAAGCGGGCCAGACTATTGTCAATTGTACCTGGTGACGTAGTAATTTTGAGTAAGGACTCGGATTGAACAGGGTTAGTGAGGTGGAACGCGCGACTTGGTAGTCAGTAGATGATTTAGACTTTTGAGATGCTGCAATCGCTATTCCCTGTTGAAACTTTCAACGTGACCCGTTATCGGGGGATGCCGAAAGTCTCTTTTGCGCGGTAAATGCTTAGTGCTAGGATATCGCGGATAGAGAGATGCGAGAAGGTCTATCGAATGGAATGCATGGCTAGACGCTTGCGAGAGGGGAATCTCCGGGGGAAAGCTGTCTTTCCCATCACCCCCTCCTTCTCAACAAGATTTACTACCAATGGATGGTTTGCTTTCTCGCAACTGCTGGCATTTTACACATACAAACTGTGATTTCTAGCAAGATAGACGAATCAAAGGCACGGCATACAGCGCGTAACGCTGTGGTTTGGCAGCCCGAGCACACCCTTCCAGCAAACAAGACGTGTCCTGCTGACCCCTCGCAACCAACTACGCACTTTCCAAGGACGTGCCCGTCGCCATTCGATCCAACCACCCCTCTCATCACACAGCGTGGCATCGGAATCGCCCGAGCAGGGAGGGCGAGAGAAGGCGCATGAGGAAGCAGGAAAGAAGGAACAAAAACGCGCAATCTCGATGGTGGCAGAGTATTGATCAGGTGTTGTGAATCGAGGATGTGGGGGGGGAGCTGGAGCAATGAAGCCATGGCCCATGGCATGACGTCTTGCAACAAGTTACCCCTCTCTCCCCTTGCGCAAGGCGCATGAATGTCGAGACTGGGCCAGCAAGCAGAACCACGTCGGATGAAAGAAGCATGACATGGGCGTAGGCACAGGCGGTTCACGCGGAGCGGGTCACTGTGTCGCAAGTATGGTAGCAGTAGCTAGGTAGGTCGACTGCGGGGTAATGGAGGAGACGAGAGTGGGTTCGGAGGTGGGTCATTGGGGCGTCATAGGGTGAGGAGGCGGCGGGCATTGGCCAGGGCGCGGGAGGTCGGTGGCCGGCCATGGAGGTTCGGCTTCGCTTGGGCTGCTGTGATGGGTTAAGGGAAGAAGAGGGGTCCAGCAGAGTGACGCGGACGGGGTTGGGGTTCATGCACGACAGGAAAAGCACCGGCCAAGCGTTTCGAAACACACCGTGCACCGGATGGCCTAGGCTTGCCAGTGAGCTGGTCTGGTCTGGTCTTGCGCTGGTAGACTTGAGCGTTGGGAACCGGCCAGAGTTTTGACATGTGTCTAGGTCGGTACGCTAGATGCGTTCGCATCTGGTGAGGCAGCCAGGGCATCAGCTATCTACCCTAGCCGCCCGTACTACCTACCCTATCGACATGTACCGTGCCGCGTATTGGCCGCGATGCAGACGTGTTGGTGGCACCAGACAACGAGCCGCCCGGGACATGGCGCTGCGACATGCGAGGATGGATGGACAAGGACGCGTTGCATAGGCTGCACAAGTCATCTGAGTGAGAGACCGTGGTGGGCGACGACCTTGGGTTGGCAGCAGCAGGGAAAGAGCATGGAAATGCGTTCCTGGGCATACGCCAATGGCATCATCACACTCAAGGTGCCACCACATCACACTCAGCCGCAGAGAGAGAGATAGAGCGAGAGCAACAGCATGAACAAGCAAGTTCAACATGTGCAAGGCCAACGGGCTTGCCATCGGCATGTGACACGCGCCATTCATCCGGACAGGAACGGAGCAACAGAGCCACTGCCGCGGCGTGTTCCAGTAGACGGATTGGGTGAAACCTTGCAAGACATCTTTGTCCCATCTTACACGCATCTCGTACCATTTCCCCGTCTTGATATGCGAGGAGCAACAAAAAAAACCAAAGACTCCATGCGACCCCCCCTCCCTCTGCTGCTGCTGTTGCTGTTGCTGCTCCTGTCAGTTCCGAAACAACAAACGCATGTTGTGACGCAGCGACTGCACAAAGCTGCAGCCTAGCATCTGGGGGGTACGTAAGGATGTCCTGGGAACAAAAGGGGTGCGGGCGGAAATATAACCAAGGAAAGCAGTAAATGCAATAGTTGGTTATCAACGGAGGGTTCCCGTGTCGGACCACTGTTAATCTGCATCCCCGATCCTTGCACTTGGCAAGGCAACAAGGGGGGGGGGATGGAGGATGATGGTGGTGGCAAGGAGGCTGAATAACCGCAAGGGAAGGACGCGCCGCATATGCGGCCGCGACCACGGTAAACCTTCTTTGATCCCTGGAAGACCAACGACGACTGCTTGGGGTAGGTATAGAGAGGACAGACAGGACCGTGGTGGCCTGTGGCGCCGCGCAAGTGGGTTTCAGTAGTAGGAGGCTACCAAACTTTGTTCGCGCACGTCGGCGTTGATGGAATCCTAGTCAGAGTCCTCTAGTAGAGAGAGAGTGTGTGTGTGTGAGAGCGAGTAAGGAATGCGGCCGTTTGGTATCGCACACCGAGGAGGGAGGGTGGGATTGGGCCCCAAGGACACAGTGTACACAAGCAAGCACACCACACGCACAAAGGACCCTTGGGCCTCGCCACACCCTCACACTCACACACACAGCCCGCTCCCCCCCCCCCAAAGCAGTTTTTGCTCCTCCCGCAAACAGAGAGCAATCAATCTTTTTTTACACCCCCGTCCCCGGGCACACAACTAATCACATTGAACAATCTCCCTCAGGCGGAAATGCGCAATCTTGTATTCCTTCTGATTGATGACATTTTGATTTCGTGATGGTGTATGAAATGTGCAAGGGTTAAAACGGTTTGCGATAGGCGGACAGTCGGGCACGCGGGCAGCAGGCAAAAAAGAGGACAAAAAGGACCAAGGCAGCAGCAGCAGCAGCAGCAGCCAAAAAAAGGGGGGTGAGGAGGAACCAACAGCAAGCAAACTACTGCTTGACTGCTTGATTGCTTGCGTTGCCATTTTTTGCTTTCCCTCACCGTTTATGCATTAGCCCATCAACTCTCTCTCTCTCTCTCTCGCTCTCTTGGTGCCCATTCCTTCCCGCCCCGCCTGCGCCAACCCGCCACAAAAGAGCAGCAGGCAGCCGAAAAAGAAAGAGCGGCAGGGCGGTAATGAGAGAGATGGATGGACGGCAAGGAAAGAGATCCAAAAAAGCAAATAACCACCAAACCCACCAAAACTATGTGTATGCTGCTTCTTTGGCCCAGCCCCCCCGCTCGCGGCTTGCAAGCCCATTTTTTTTCCCCATGCACGCCCGCTTTCCTTGAGGCTGAGAATTGGCGCTGACGGGGGGAGCTGGCAAAAGGGCCAATCACTGGGGCCATCAAGGCGCAACGGTTGACCGTGCAATCATGGCTTTGCTTACAGATGTGATTCATCTGGCTTGAGTGTGATGGGGGGTGCGAGTCATCATGGTGCGACAAAAGCCTATTTACGCCAGGCAACCCTTTTCTTTCAACTTTTCCCAAAAAAAAACAAGAGACAGATAGAGAGGGAGAGAGGGAGGGAGGGGTAAGGGTAGGGTAGAGTAGGTGTGCGTGCGTGCGTGCGTGTGTGTCTGAGTTTGTGCCACCGCACGGCTTTGCTGGACACGCAGCGACGAAAGAAAAAAAGCACGTGGCAGTCGACCGTTCGGGCGTGCCATAGGCTGCCTGGTGTCTCGCATTTGCTGTGCGTGCTGCATGCAGGGGCTGCCCATCTCCCAAAAAACTCACCTTTCACAACTTATCGCAACGGGTGGGAGGAATGCGACATTCACGGTTTGATTGGTCGCCACAACATGACTCACAGAGATTCACAAGTTGCAAGGGGGGACAATGACATGCAAAATACGGCTTTGGTAATGGGGAGAGTAAATAAAATTTGTTACATAACAATAGAGTGGTATGGCGGGTATCCTAGTTTTGACCGTGAGGCACCAGTCTCGTCATAGAGACTGTCTGAAGAAGAAATCTCCCAAATCTAGATGGTCCAACCTAGAAGACAAGACGTGGTAACCCAGTACCAAAAACACAACCTGAACACCTTGCAGAAAACCAAAACAATAAATGACAATACCCGGCTGAAAACTGAGAAGAGAGAGAAGGAAAAAAAGATACAAGAGAAGGGGGATATCATAGTAGAAAGCAGACTTTTTCCTGTGATTCGCCCAATGCGCAAAAGACCCAGTAGTGTTGTACAATGGCTGAAGCAAACGAAGAAACAAAACAAAAAAACGTGCAGCGAGATTAACAATTAGTAACAGCAAGAAAGGGTATCTCGCAGTAATGTCAAAGTGACGCGCAAAGCAGTGCCGGTAATCGAAGGGGGTATACCAAGACAGAAAAACGCCAGCGCAAAAGCGTCTAGGTATGAGAGTCAAAAGAAAATGGGGGGGGTATCGATCCTAGGCGGATGGGTATCGTAGGATGTCTTCGCAGTTGGCGTCGAAGCGCATCGACCAGAGACGCATTCCAGTCATGAGCTTCTCAGTCTTCTCGAGTTCTCGGTCGCGGCCAAAAATGGACTCGACAAACTCCTTGCCGCTGTTCTTGCCCATGGACACGGGCTTTTCCTTGCCACTCTCCTTCTTGGCCGCCTTCCACATGTAGTCCTCGCATACTTTGAGCAGCTTGGCGAAGCGAACCCATAGGCGCTCGCCACTCTCGAGAAAGTCTTCAACCATTTCGTGGTTCTCCTTCTTGCGGATCTTGGGCATCGTCTCGTCGGCCCTCTTGACCTTGCCAGCGAGCTGGATGAGGAGGAGCCACAGCTCACCTGCCATCTCCGCGAGAGGCGTGGCAGGACCGTAGTGGAAGACGGTCCAGTCGTAGATCCACTTGCCAAGCGAGTTTGCGTCGAACACGGACCCTAGCAGCATAATGGGCTCTTCGGTGGGGTCCCAGTTCTTGTACGAGTAGCCGGCGGGGATGCCAGCACGGCGCGCGTCTTCTTCGGTGGCCTTGGGGCTAGTCTTTGTTGGGGCTGGCTTCTTGGGCGAGGCTGCTGGCTGTCGTGTCGATGCAGAGGCTCGTCGGGGGCGGCTAGACTTTGGTTCTGGATCATAGATTGGGACCTGATCATAGTAATAGCGATCAGCATCCCCTCGGTACATGTCGTGGCGCGCGTACTGTTCGTACGGCGGCGGTGGGTAATCGTAGACGTCGTAGTCGCATTCGTAGCCGTAGCCTCGGTCGTCGTAGACAACTCTGGTGTGGACCTGACGCGCCGACTGCGACGGACGACGCTTCCTCTCGCGATGACTGCGCTTGAGAGGCGGGACGTCTGAGTCGCGGCGATGCCGACTTGGAAGAGTGTAACCGAAATAACTTACATATTCGGGGGTGCCTCGCGGCGTTGCGTGGGTGCGCGGGGCAGCAAACTCGGCAGCGCCATAGTGGGGCACGGCTCCTCCTCGGGGTGAGGCCGTGTATTGTTGGTATTGTGTCGATGGTACGGCGTGGGATGCCCGGCGCGAGTGGCCAGAGACCTTTGGGCTTGCTCGTGGTGTGGCCATCTGAGGAGCGTGGCGAGGCGAGTAGTAGTTGGTACCGGGGCCGGGGGACATGGGCGGCGTGGTGCGGTGGTAGTCGTAGGGCATGTAGCCCGGAGGAGGCGTGGGATACTGTGGTGCGTACATATTTGTAGAGGGTGTGGTGAGGGCGTCCAAGTCGTAACTGCGAGGCGGACGATGGGGGTGGTGGTTTGGGAGCGGGGTCGAGGGCTCAGGCCGGTGCCTGTTTCACCTGGGGATGTGCAGAGCAAACGAGGTTCTTCGCGCGCGGTGGTATAGTGCGGCGGAGGAGGAGGTTGCAGCGACGGAGGGGAGGAGAGGGGATATCCGGGTCGGCCTGCTGCACATTGGGTGTGGAATGGAGGGGATGCTAGAGTATGCCAGAAGGATCCAGAGAGCAGGATCCTGAAGAGTGGGCGTGTGTAGACGGGGTCGTCTGGAGTGCTTGGTAATGGGGTGGTGAATGTTCGGGTAGGCAAAAGAGGAAGCGGCGGCGGGCTCAGCCTGCTTTTCAAACCAGAGCCGTCACTCGCTCCTTCCGCGCGCGGACCTCAGCGGGCGCCCATCCACCCTAACGCAGCCCCCCTGTCGCGCCGTTCACCAGCTAGTGCAGGCCAAGGGCTCCCATGCTTTGGCCTTTCCCCCGTCGCCGGGTCAGATTGACATGCAGGCCTCGCCGCCGTACTTGGTCTAGCTGTGCCCACCAGTATAGTATTCTGGGAAACCGAGCCCCGAACCCTACACGTCCTCGCCCTCTCCCCAACCCAATCCAATCTCACACACGGCCCCTTTGCCCTCTGCCCCATCCATCCATTGCCGTGGCGCCAACCCACGGAATGGCTGTGCGAGAGAGAAAAGCCAGCCCGCCAGCCCGCCCGCCTGCCTGCCAGCCAGCCTACCCGCCCACGACGGCCACGGCGGCGGCGGCGGCGTTGCATTGCTGCCTAATGTGCACAGAGGTCTTAGTAGTAGGTAGAGTGGCGGCGGAGAGAGCGGGTGGCATTGCGCTCAGCCTGTTTTGAATTTGTTCTGTTTGGGGTGGGTAATATTGGAAACATACTACGTTGCTCGCACTACTATATATCCGTAATCCTGGACCGCCTCTGCCAAAGCCTGCCCACGACACATGCTGTGCGCCAGCAGCTCCTCCAGCTTCCAGCGCCCTCGACTCAGCCGGCCATGGGCTGCAGCAGTTCTTGTTTGCTGATGAGCTGACCTCCGCTGGTGCTCCTTGCACGCACTCACTCACTCACTCACTCCACCAGGCCAGTGCCCCCCCATCACAACAACAACCGCAACTACAGCAACAGCAAAGGCCCGCGTTGGGCTCGCTGCAGTGCGGATGGGATGTGATAGCACGGCCCATTCTGCCTGTGCCCTCTGGGTGGCCGGCCACGCCCTGGCACCGGCGCCCGTACTCCCACATGGTTGTCGTACGCAGCCAATTCCGCATTGACCGACCACCTCCCCGACCAGCATCATCTATCTACCGTTTCCCTCTGCGGCGCCACTCGATGCCTGTCAACCATTCTTTTCACTGTCCATCTTCTGGTACACCATCTCTTGCCTAGCACAAACGCTATCCTGTGCCCCTCGTCGCGGCACCCGGCTACTCATTCTCCAGTCCATCCATCCGAAACAACGGAAGGTCCACCAATTCAACGTCGTCCCGTGGCGCTTGGGGAAAAGCCTATCGCCTACTAGGGGAGGCCCTGTCGTCGCTTGAGAGCCGCACTCAGTCCTGCTCGCTCGGATCCCTTCTCGAACTTCCCTCGCACACTCTCCCAAGCCTAATTTCCCGCCCGTGAAAATTTTTTTCCCCAATGTCTCACAGCTCACCCCCCCCCCAAGTTGCTGGCTTGTGGCGCGCGTTGTTGTTTACCGCTACTTTCGACCTTACTGCACTCTCTTCCAAGGCATATATCCTACTCTATTCCATGGGCCCACTACGGCTGCATATCGCGCCAGCGGGGCCACAATGATTCGATGGCAATCCGTCAACAGCAAAGCAAATACTCGCGGCAGCATGGTTTGATCTCCCCGCGCACACTCACTACAGCTTGATAAAGCAAGTTCGCAGCGCAAGTACCTCCCACCTTGTCTGTGACTGGCTATTGCGGAACGCCTATATCCGTGGGGCGCATGAAGCCAACGCCCGGGTCGCACAATGCCTCGTTTCTCCCGTCAACATGCTCCTTGCAATTTCTCGGCACACAGTTCTCACTGGCATTTTTGCCTGAATTGTACGTCCCCATTGGACCGCATCGGCCCTTATCCTGGTGGCTCATCGGGTTGCCTCCCTACCGAGCCCGCACACACAGCATTTTTACATGTTCAAAATTCACGGGTCCCACTTGGCTATCAGACAACTCACCGTGCGTATTCCTTCGCATCCACCAGCATCATGCGTTGCTATGACTCCTCCTGACCTGCAGGAACTGTTCTACTCCGCTCTCGCATGTCGCCATCGTCATGGACTCGTCTCCAAGTGAAGCTGCCCCTCCAAGTGGACCTGCCTGCTGTATGCAGCGCAGCGCGCGAATAAATCCGTACACTTGTCGTCGTAAAAGACCCATCATCTCCCTAGCACCTCCCAAATACCGGGTGGGCTAGAAGCAACTGCGACACCCATCCATACTAACCATAAGCGCTATGACGCATCGCTCAGGTTTGCGCAGCCCTATCGTCTGCAGACATCACACAGCAACGTCGCACATTCGTTGGACGCCGACGTTAGTCTGCCACGACACTGCAGGCTGAGTGCAGCTGCCGCCTACCTGCGAGCTGTCTAGCTGCATAACGCACCACCCAAAATATCGCGTACGGCCCAACGAATTGCTCGCCCGTTCCGAATGCAATACACTGCTTGCGCAAGCTAGGTTTTTTGGTGGTGTGGCGGCGTGGCGGTGCACTCTCTTGGCATGGGCGCTCCGAGTCACATGCTCTCTCACCAGCTATGATACCATGATCTACCTTGCAGGGATGCCGCCGTAAGCGAGACTTCAATAACTTCTTCCCCTGTGGCGAAGCTTTGTCTCAACATCACGGACGAATTGATCCATGTAACGCGCAATACGTACGTACTCGTTTCTCGCCGACGACCCATGGCAGTCTTGGGCTGACGTCCGATGGCTGCCTTCACTCTGATCCTGGCTCCGCTTCGCCCCGCGCGTCGCCTCTATCGATCGGCCTTGTTACCGCCGGCCATTTATTGACACCCGATTTGACCGCCTGGACTGCATAGTTGAAACGCCTACAACTTGAACGACGATTCAAACGGTACAAAAACCCACAGTCAATCACGAGGCAAAATCAGCTGCTTTGTTGAGTCTGTAGATGTTGCCTCTAGCCACTAGAGCTTTTTCTGTAAATGCGCCCACTCACGAGTCGATCGCCGCCTGTTGGTCCAAAAAAATACCTTTTGAGCGGTGAGTCATGCTAAAGGGAACAAGCTTGTTCGTTTAGCGAGCACACGAGCAACAAGGCCCTCACCCACCAGCATTACGCATTGACAAGCAGTTTTACATCTTGACAGTTGGGACCTGTATCTGCGTCATAGCTTTTTCTTGTCCACCGCTATATTTGCAAGGTGCAAGGTTGAAGCATGCATGTTGCTCGAGTTTCTGCAAGCCACCAGTCCAAAATCAACACCATCCATTCGCTGAACATGTTGTTCCGGCAACGGGAGGACCCTCGGTTGCCGCGCTCAAATGTTGATTCTCTGAAAGACGGTGAGCAAAGTCAAGGTCCTCTGCATGTCGTTCGCTACTATCCGAGGCGGCGGTTCCCATTCCCTGTACCTGCTTCCACGCCAGTCAATCATGCCTTTTTCTTGCAAGAATTCCCACTTATATCTTCCAATAACTCAGCAAACTTGAATGAAGCGACAGAGATCTCCATGGCCCGCATCGACATGATACCCGCAGAGATGCGCACAACGGTCTTTCTTCCTTTTGCGGGAATTGAGCGGCACCAAAGCGACTGTGCTCCACGATGCCCGATTATACGTGCTGCCGGGAGCATCTTCCCAACATCCGGCCGCCAATAGCAACATGACTTGTGAGGATGGCGACAAGCTGAAAAAGATAAAACGCAACGGTCGACTACATATCTTTACCGCAAGATTGTATGGTGTAAATGGTGTTGGCGGCACGTGTCAAGCAACAACTTTGATATGAAGCTTGGCTGCCACTAAAAGCAGTCATTGATTACGTTTGGGTGTCCCAACACGCACAACAGGAGCTCATCAGCTCGACCTAAGCCGCCTCACCGATGTTTAGTCTTGGGTCCACCCGGTATAGCAGTGAGGCAATACTCAGCACCGCGTGATGTATGTACGGGCTTTCCTAGTCCAATGTGAGTATTCGGCATTTTACGGAACAGTGGTGACACTCCGACAAGAAACGGAATCTGATGGTCAAAGTTTCTGGGCTTGCGCCGAGCAAAATTCAAGGTTTTTGCTATCAAACAAAGTACCGAACTTGCATAGTAGGCTGCCTTAATTCCCTTCATTCTATTCCCTTTTCCGTCTAGGTAACAAGTACCCCGCACCCGAATCCATCCAGCCTCTCTTTTTTTTCTTCCTTCTTTGCGTTGGGCTATGTTATGCTGCTACTAGATTGCAGGTTTCGGCAGTCGATTTTGTCTATGCACCTTGGTTTTCTTTTTTGACTCCTTTATTTTCTGCGGTCCGGAAAAAGGCTACGGTACTGATCAGTGATAAGATCGACTTTTCCAAACTTTGACACATGTGTAGTATACACGGGCGCCAAAATTATGCAGGTGATCACGCGATACGGGGTGGAACTTTTGGGTGGAAATCGCGGTAGTGTGGGGAAATCGGCCTTACTCGCCTCGTCTTTTTCTGGTCGGGACATTTTTATTCTTCCTTCTTCGGTATCGGACCCCGAGATCGTCTGTGTGGTAGGATGGTTTTTTTGGGATGTTCATGCATGAAATATATACTACATTTTGGTAGTTTTACGTTATAGCATACATCTAGTTGTCTATCCTTAACATATGGTTGCGGTAGGATATCTCAAACGCAAATTCCTCTGATTCACAGATCTGCAAAGAGTTGGAATGCCCACTTGAAGTTTTCTTGGATTAACCCAGACCAAGTCTCCGCTTTTATGGATTATAATCCACTCGACATGTCATCTTGATCTGCAGTTTTTGTTGGAGCATCACTGTTTAGTTACATATATATGTGAGGCGCTCACCGCCGCAGCGGGCATCATGGCTAAACGCCGACAACAAAAGCCGGACTAAACACGCACACCGACAACACCCAGCATTGGGTCCTATTCACGTCTTTGCGTTATATAAGCGCATTATGCGAAGTTCGATAGCGATCAACTGGCTATAACAACGCTTGCTTCTCCATCTTGTTGATATATCAAGGTAGCGAGATAGCCGCTTCATATATCCTCTAACTTGAACATATACATCACATCGCAAACTACCAAACAAAGAACCCTTTTATTTCATGTCACCGTGCGAAGTACAAACTCCGTTTTTTACTTTCTTTCTTAAATACCCAGCAGAAGACTCGGTAATAAGAGACGAGTCAAGCTTGATGCTATAGGGTCGTTTTGAAACACGGTGCTTTTTGTTCCTATAGCATAAACACTGAACAGGTCTTATCTTTGCACTTATACCGAGTGACTTTTATCGTCTCTTTTATGAGAAACGGGATGAAACGCTTGGCTTGGTGCGAGTTTTTTTAGAGTGGGCTGTTTTTTTTGTAGGGGGGAATAAGCGCTTAGGTACTTTTTTTTTGTTGGGTCACTTGGTCTGTATAGAGAGTAGCAGCAGCTTAGAGTATAAATGTATATATATATATATGTAGGGTAGGGGATATGTGGCTTGAAGATGATGAGGAATCGGGTTGGAATAAAGGAAATAGAAAGTAACGACGTTTTTAAGTAGTATTTAAACCTGCGTGACAGGTATTCATATAGCATCGGCTATTTTCCAGAGCTTGTATGCGATTTTGCTGTTTTCTTGGTAGACTTGGCGGTGTAGGCACGACGTACAAAGTAAGTAGACAGTGAATTCTGGGTCTGAAGCTAGTGTTTGTGAGTATTGTTTAGTAGCACACTGGGTCATGTATTTAAGACTGAGGTATCGTGGGTTGCACACGAGTGCACATGCGGAGGTTCGTGACAACTCCGGGTTGAATACAACTACTATTGCCATTTGCAGTGAAATTTTGGGGGGTTAGAGATGGTGAGGTGGAGTGTAGCGCAGTAGCTTGGATGGTTTTGCTACTACTGGTATGTATATAGAAGAGGGTTTGGAGGAGAGGCTGCTGCGGAAAAGAGAGGAAGATATGTGAGGAAGATGGACAAGAAGTAAGGTATTCTAGCACATTTCTCGGGTTCGGATGAGTACTTTGAGAATTACACACTACTGAAGAATTGGTTTCAAGAAACGAGGTGATTGAATTGGAAGATTGATCAGGTGCACTTGCTCCGTGTATCTCTACGTTGCTTAAGCGAAGTAGGGGGGGTCTATAGGATAAACAGAGCTAATCGTTGTTGTATATGCACGATGTCTAAAATGCCTACATATTCTTCCGCTCATATATCTTGCTTTATTATGTATGTTTGTTGCTGTCGCTAACTGACTTTAAAGTGCTGCTAGTTGTTCACATCGCTTCACCAAGTCTCTCATACTGGCTTATACGAGCTTTGATAAGTTCATACAGATTGAAAACGAATGGGTTAGAGATTTTAGTATAGGGTTTTGCTACTCACAATTGCTATCCTAGACGTTACGTCCACATCGGAAACAAAATCTCATGTTTGATTGAGACGATTGCTCATTGCTGTGTAGCAGTTAGGAGGGCAGGAAGTGGTGTTAGTTGCTTCGGGTTAGTGCTTTTGTATTGATTGGGTAAATTCTAGGTAAAATAGAATTTAAAGTGGATATATTGATGCTATCTTTGTGTTTCTTCTTATGTTAGTAGACTGGTTTGGTGCATAAGGGGGTCAAAGTGATTCGTACATGAGCGGGCAAGAATAATTTGAAGATTGTTGGCATGCGTTCATCTTGGAGGAGGAATTGAACGATTGACTTAAGGCTAAGTTCATGGTAAGTTAATCAAGAATTCCTTAGAATCCCATTGAAGTCGAGTTATATAAGCGGGGTGGAGAGTGACACTCGATCAGAATGCCATATTTTGTATGGCCTCGTTGCTTGTCGTCGAAGAGATTTGGTTGAATAATGCTTACACCTCTCGTTTTCAGCACGATATCTGGAAGAATATATACCGTCTCCATAGTTCTTTCAGGCTTTTGCTTTCAGCGCATGAGGGTATGACCCAACCCTCAAATAATTGATGTCACGTCCTGTACAACGGACCCTTCACGTCACATTACGGTCTTTGTACCCAAGAGAGCTTGAGTGAAGTATTTTTCGTGGATATTAAGAATATTGAGGAATGCGGCATAGTATGTACCCTACCCTACCGGTAGAAGGTAAGTATATAGAATTCACCGAAGCTACGAGAGCAGTGGCATGGATTGGGAGTTTGAGTACCTTGTGGAGCCGCTCACCCGATTCTGAAAACCTTCCATCGTGGTTTCCAGAGCGGTCAAACATAGTCTCTTTGTGATTTGCTGAAAAAAAGGTCACATGTGGAAGATCTATAACGGATATATGCTTGACAAAAAGAGGATGCAAAGTTACATGACTGACGGCTCGACATTACTCTAGACTTTAGGTGGCGTGATTTAAGGTGGTAAACATGTAGTCTGAGGTATGTGGCATCGGCAATGGAACCGAGATGGTTGTCACATAAGAAGTTAGTCCCAAGTTGTGCTTCTCGGACTCGCTTTAGCTAGACATCTCCGACAGTTCGAGATGAGGCAATTTTTTGTCACATCTACAGGCCATTTAAACTGGAATGGCGTAGTCGTGGAATTTGGACCATCGGTGTATCAATTCTGTGGCACGCGGACATGTTGCTTTATTGAGGTAGAGGAAGGAGTGCATGGTATGGTTAGCCTGGCGGACATGTCCCATTTGGAGTAGTATGACGAGGTTAATTCACCAAAAGAGCCTTACCATGATGCAATCTCTTTGATATGCGCCATTTCTGTTCACAAAATAAGGTTACTTTGTATTCCTTACCGAATTGGCAGCCACAGTGGTACTTTTCGAGTCTGGATAGTGAGGGAATAATGCACATCCCCCGCAGACACCTAGATGGACAGGTAAGTAGACATGATTCATGTATGATACCTCAATCATGACCCCTGACTCGAGCACGTGCCCGTGTCTGGGGTTGAAATGTCACGCCCCAATGGTGGGGCGATTGTCGTCGCGGTCCGCCAACACCAGGAACTCAGGGTTCAATGTTGATCACCGTCTTCACATGCTATCGAGTCCACGAGCCCTTAATGTGTCCTATCTATCCGATAATAGGCATTATGGGATGATTTCATCGATTCTTCCGGGTAATTCTCTTGTCTGCACACCAAAACGCTCGCCCGACTGGCAAACGGGCGGCTGGCGGAGGGGAAAGGCGAGCACGTGCTCAAGGTTGAGGTTGAGCATCAGCAACGCTGGCTGCAACTCGTCCATGTCTGCCGTTAGGCCCACTCGTTGTAGAGAATGCGGTCTTGCAGAGGCCTACGGACGATGATTACGACGCCCACGCTCCCGTTGTGACGCTCTCATTCGAGGTGAGATGACCGGCGCCATCGATTGACCTATCTGGCCAGCCAATCACGAGGGGGCAGGACACCGCGTGGTCGTGCTTGTTCAAGCTGCGACACAAAAGAGCCCACGCGACACCCCCCGACTGTGATAATGCGCGCCGTACATTGTTTTTATCGCCTTGTCCCCCCTCACAGCCACTCTCCGAGCTTCCTATTCCCCTCGATGCATCCTGGACACGTCCCGTGAGCGAGCCTCTCTCCACTCCAATCATGCCTCGCCCAAACCTCCCGCCTACTCCACAGCCGTCGACCGACATTACAGGCAAAAATGCCGCCAATGCCCCTCAATTGGAGAGCAGCTTCGACTTACCGCCTGCGGCCCTGGCTGGTAGAGGCAGTGTAGCTAGCTCCTCGGGTCCCTCCGAAAATGCCTCAGACTCCTCATACAGGCCGCCGTCGCCATCGTCCCCGGTAGCGACGTCCAAGTCGAGCCATTCGCGCAAGCGTTCCAGCAACGCAGCCCAGCACAGCGTTGTCACCAAGGACGACTATTCTCTTCCTCCTCCGCCTACTCGGTCGCGAAAGATCATCCAGATGAAGCCCAAGGATACTCAAGAGTCACCCAAGGGTTCAGTGCAATCGCAGAATGTAAAGGCGACAAGCGCAACTGCCAATGGCGGCAAGAAGAAGCAGGCGAGCAATACCACTGCCGCTGGGCGTAAAATTGCACGAAAAACGGCACATAGCTTGATTGAGCGAAGGAGACGGTCCAAGATGAATGAAGAATTCGGCGTGTTGAAAGACATGATCCCGGCTTGTAGGGGCCAGGAAATGCACAAGCTTGCCATTCTGCAGGTGTGTATTTGTATTCCATAGTATGTGTTGACATGCGCTAACAGCTCCAAGGCATCGATTGAGTACATGCGCTATCTGGAGCAGTGTGTCTCGGATCTCAAGACTGCAAACTCACGGCGCGACTCTCCATCATCCACTACATCTTCACTGCCCCCGCCGCCTATTAGACGAATTCAAGACGAGGATGAAGACGACCGGGAGCAGGACGAAGAAATGGAAGACGCTGTATCGCCTACCTACGTGGAGCAGCCCTCTCAGTCCAGGTACTCTTTCGCAAATGCCTCGCCTGCAATCTGCCCATCAGATCGAAGCGTATATACCCACTCCACCACCACATCTCCGGCGATCATGCCCCACGATCACAACGGGCA